GCTGATTTCCTGGGAGGCAAACGTCGTAAGAAGATTGTTGGCGTCCCGGATACGCCGCAGGAGGTGCTGGATATTACTAGGACGAAGGTGAATGGGTATCTCAAGGGGGAAAGTGTGCCGCTGAGTGTGGAGGGCTATGTTGATGCGCTTATTGCTATGGCGGTGGATCCGATGAATTTGGCGAGTATGTATATTGGGTGGTGTGCTTTCTTTTAGTATTGTTGTGTTTCGTTTCAAAAGTCGGGGTAGGCGGGGAGGTGTGTATGTCAGTATCGTTAGTTCGTGTTTTACTAGATGAGGTATTAGCAACGCAGTATGTTCTTCCTAACTTCATTCGCGCACACAACATGCGCAAACCCGTTAGTAACCCACTCCCACACCCTTAAGACAAGACTCCGTGCATATACAATTGGCATTACAATACGTAATTGTAAAATAAAGGTAGGTACTCCCATTCTCTTTGGAACCCGGATAGTAAAAAAAAAGACCAACGCCTGTAACAAAAACTCGTTAAGAAAAGAGGTTGATGCTACCCAAAAGGGACTCGCTCGAGCGGATATTCAGTCGTGTAAGCATCGTCTTCGTGCGATCGTCTCTTCCGTACCCTCGGACCCAAGCTTGCTCTTTGCTTCCATGAGATCAAAGCCGTAGCATGTCTGTCATTCGCATCCATAGCATAACCACTGCCCCTGTGTGCCTGACAATCTCAGTCCAAAATATCCATCTCCTCTTATGCCCTCTCTCTCCCGACTACACCTCCTTTCTAGCAGCACTTCCCGCCCATACCCGCGTTCCCGTCACCTTGCCCGCTAACATCGACCTTGGGGGCAGCGGTCTGATCCGTCCTGGCGGTATCGATAAGGCGCTTCTTGATGTCACCGGCGAGACTGTAAAACGCCTGGTCGACGTTGATGTTGCTCTTGGCCGAGACCTCGAGGAAGGGGATGCCGAGTTCGTCGGCGAGGGCCTGGCCCTGTTCTGTGGAGACGGCGCGCTTCTCTTCCCAGTCGCACTTGTTGCCGATGAGGATCTTGTTGACGCCTTCGGTGGCGTGTTGCTCGACGTTGGAGAACCATGTGCGGATGTCTGGGTGGTGTTAGTGTTTTCTTTGTTGAGACATTCCGGCCTGTTAAGCTGGGATGGCAGAAGGGTGTGTATATGTGTGGAGCGGCAACGTACTGTTGAAGCTCCTTTCATCCGTGACGTCGTAAACTAGCAGGATACCCATGGCACCTCTGTAGTACGCCGTGGTGATGGTCCGGAAGCGCTCTTGGCCAGCGGTATCCCATATCTGCAGCTTCACGCGCTTGCCGTCGAGCTCGATGGTGCGGATCTTGAAGTCAATGCCGATGGTGGTGATGAACGAGGGCGTGAACGAGTCTTCGCTGAAGCGCAGCAGGCAGCACGATTTGCCTACGCCCGAGTCGCCTATGAGGAGTAGTTTGATCTACGCGGGGGAGGTTGTTAGTGTGGGTCTGTGTATAGGCGGTGGAGGGGCGTTCAGGGTCCAGCATGTATGCGGAAGCTGGGCAGGCGCATGTCAGAAAGAGGCATAGGGCGAAGCTTACGAGAAAGTCATAATTCCTGGAGCCAGCCATCTTGATATGGAGTCGTGGGGTGCGTTATCGAGCGGAGGTGGTTGCGGAGTTGGCGCCCGCCGGTTTGGGGTGTGCGGTGGAGCTGGCGGTGGTTGCGTGGTTGCGGAAGAATGGCGGTGATGGACTCGAGCCTGATGATATGTTGTATGCGTGGAAACAGGCGGGCTTGGGGTGAATGTTGCTGTGTGGTTAACAGCAGGCAGCGAAGTAAACGGCGTGGGAGCGAGTTCACAGGTGCTGGCCAACGTTGGACGTTAGCGCCAATAGTCCGCACGGGCTTCACCACCTCCGTCACTGCAGCTGTCGTCTGCGAGTGACGAGAGGCGGCTGGCTTGGTGGCAACTGCGCATCTGCCTTGACTCGGCTGTCACTACCGGCATCACGACCCAGCACACGAGACACGGTCATGTGCTGGCGTTGAAGAGCCTCATTTCCAGGTTTTGTTTTGCGCCTCGGTACATACCCACACGATACTTGTTGAGCTAGTCTTGGATAGTAGACATCTGATCTGTCATGTTCCGCCTGCACCTATTGAGAACACGGTTCTAAAATTACAAGCTTCTTCGTATGTTTGTATTGAAGTGGGTATGTACGCTGATCATAAATGCGCTGTGACTGGATCATCCCAGTTGCAAAGATGCCCTCAAGTAAACCATTTCGAGTACGCCCACCTAATGCGCTCAACTACTTTTTGCTGTCGCTGCAACCCACTCCTCACGTCAACAAGCTCATCTATCTCTACCAGGAAGTCGTGGAAGATGCGTCGGGGTAGTATGCCGCTCGCAGCCTGTCGCAGGAGATGCACTTCGCAGAGGAGGAGACCGTGGTCCTTGTAGGAAATTTCGCCGTCTTCTGTGGGTGTTGCGCTGGTAAGGATGCGATCGATGTTGCGTAGGATGAGCAGCATGCGACCTTGCCTCGCCCACATCTGTACGCCTTTGCGGCTGCTGAAGACGCCTCGGAGGTATCGGTAGACGCCGATACTGACGAGAACACCAGGCGTCAGACCGATGAAGCCAAAGAGCAACTCCTGGCTCTTGAGAATGCTGTCAATACCGCTCATCGCGACTTCCACATCGACCTTGGTCTTCTGCACCTGAATGAGCAGTGCGCTAGCTAGGTTACCAACTATCGCACCCTTGACCGGACTTTGGATGTCCTTTTCGTAAGATCTCAAGACCGTGGTCAGATCGCCTTCGCGGACCTTCGCCCTGATATCGGCAATTTGAGTCTCGTTCAAGGCGGGGCCTTCAGGGTTTTTCACCGCAAAGTCAATGACCATGCGCTCAAGGCTTGCGCGGTCAGACTCCAAGCTTCGTTTGCTCATGATGGAAACCTCGCTATCTTCGTTGTGGCGGATGGTACCAATGATCCTCATAGCGGGCTCCACGACCCAGTTTGTCCAGAAGTCGATCACAGTCTGTCCTAGTTCGCGTACCCGGGCCAAAATCTCTTCTTTTCGGTTGACAAATATACGCAGGATAGTGGTCGAGGATACGAGGAGCATGGTGGCAGGTAGCCAGTACCGGATGAGGATAGATGGACGTCCGTTCTCCTTGACGACAGCGTTGAAGTCTGAGGTGTAGGCAGGCAATGCTTCCTGGAGCAGATATTGCAGTCGCTCTGCGACATCGGCCGGCTTAAGCGTGGTTGCCGTTCGTTCTCCGGTGGGTTCGTGCAGCGAGTAGAGTTGGTCATCTTGAGTAATGCCAGCAACCGAGTCGTCAAACTTATTAACGGATATCTCTGCAGCGTTCACGCTTTGGATGACGGCGTCCATCAGGGCGATGTTCTTAGCCATGACGCTCTTCCATCTATGTCCGCTTTGTGCGCCGAGCAGTGGGGGAGATTGGGTGCCATCGTCGTGTACACTGGCATGGTCAGCAGTCGCTCACAGTCTTCGCGGATGTTTGGTAGCATACCTCTCGTTACCCAGCCCTTCGCCTAGAAGTACACCGAGCGCGTTCGCATTGATAAGCCGTATCTTCCTCAGCGCTGCGCGCTTCCTCCTGCCTTCGTTTCTCACAAGCGCCAACGGGCTCACGACCCTTCGCTGGATGTTGGCAATGCTGCGCTCTTGCACCGCATCCTTGACAAGGCCGTAAAACTGGCTCCACCCATCAGCCAATTGGCCACCCCTCGACCGCACGTCGCGATATATCTCCTGCGACCATTTCCACACCCGAACCGGCGATGTTTGTATCGAGTATAGCCCAGCGAATCGGTAGGTGGAGAGGATGTCGTCCCAGTACCACAGGTCGTCTTCCAACGGGATAGTCTGTTCCAATATCGTATTCAGAACCTGTCCGTAGACCTGCGTCGTCGCCTTGCTAACTAGCAGCCATTCCAGTTCATGTTCATAGCTCGCATCCTCGTAGCTGCTGGCGATGTTGGCACGCTGCAGCGTCTCGGATATGCGTGCGATGGACACAAGGCTATGTTTGGATGACGCGGTCGTGGAGAGGGACTTGATGAGGTACTGCAGGTGCGCGATTCGTGTCGTCTTGGTGGGGTCGTGGGCTTCCTCGGCGGTGATGGAGAAGCTGCCTTGTCGTGTCGCCGACAGCTGCAGCCGGTCGAGCTGGCTGTCAATTCGACGCACTTGGCTGAGACAGTATTAGCTATACCGGGCTGTATCAATTGAATGCGCCAACTTACTCAACCACGAAAGACATGGCTACCGGCGCGTGGGCTCTCACATGGAGGATGCGGCGGGATTATTTTGGTACGAGGGGATCTGGAGATCTGAACCGGGATGACGCGCCCCCACCCGCCGCCAATGACGTTCTAGGCCTGCCATCCATCCACCACCGCCAGTTGCACGCACTTTCCGTTTCCTGTCACATGTTTCCTTCTCTCCAACACACATAGACGAGCCAGCTACAAAATGCGTTGTTTGTACATGGCATGCTCCGACGTCTACCACTCGGTAAACCTGAGTAAATCTACTCATCCGATAACACGAACACATATACGCCTTCTGAGGAATCAAGCTGATGCAATTAGACTTGAAGACTAAATTGGTATTTGAGTGTATTTAACACGCCATTCTCTTATCCGATGCCTAGCTCTCATGCTAACGATGGTGCCTTCTACCACGAGCAACTCCGCACAACAATGAATCTGCCATCGCTCGCAGATTTCTCTATGACGTCGCAGCAATTCTTCTATAATAACAAACAACTATAGCCAGACTATTGAGCGGCTGCAACCAGACCTGGCTGCTGGACGCTTCCGACCGACCGTGCCACAATGCACTCGCAGCAACACCATCTCGAACAGGAAACTCGTCTCCGACCCAAGAACCAGTCTAGCGGTCTCTCCTAAAAGCAAACAAAGGCACAAAAAACGGCGTCCATCCAATTTCCACAGCCTGTCGGGTTCGAAACAGTGGTAGAGGTGCTAGCTAGCGACGCGAGCGCTCATTCGGACCGAGGGCTGATCAGCGACATCGTCCAAATCCGATTCCATGGAACGCAATTGCAAAGCGCTTGCCTCGTCGTCGGAGAGGCGGGCGCTCATTGGCTCCAGGATGGGACTTGCTGAACGGGAGAGATCAACTTGCGGCACAGTCAATCTGATACCGTTTGGCTGGTCAGGGGCTAGCAGGGTCCCCTCGTCCACAAGCGAGTCGCGCTTTCTGGGGAGCTTCTGGCGCATGCCTAGTTCGGAGCCTACGCGCTCGATGCTCTTGAAGTACTGAGGGTGTTAGTTGACGACTAGAAGAGAAGGGTGTCGATGGGCGTACCTTGACGGTCTTGACTTGCAGCTCTAGGGTGGCGTCTTCGTCGACAACGATCATCGGGTGCGGGTGCATCTGGAGACTGGACAGCGTCCACATGTGGTTCACGCCGCCTTCGATGCACCGCTGAAGAGCTAGGGCCTTGTGCGCGCCTGTGATGATGATCACGACTTCGCGCGCCTGAGGAACGTTAGACTCTGTTGATGGACATGGTGGTGTGACTTACATCAAGAACAGTCTGCACGCCCACGGTCAACGCCATCTTCGGCACTTGGTCGAGGTTGTTTCCGAAGAACCTTGAGTTGGCCAGAATGGTATCGTATGCAAGAGTCTTCACGCGGGTCCGAGACTTGAGGCTGGAACCAGGCTCGTTGAAGGCAATGTGTCCATCTGGCCCGATGCCGCCGAGGAACAGCTCGATGCCACCAGCACGTTGGATCTTCTCTTCGTAGTCATGGCATTCGACTTCCAGGTCAGGTGCGTTCCCGTTGAGGATATTGATGTTCTCGGGTTTCACGTCGACATGGGAGAAGAAGTGCTTATACATAAAGCTGTGGTAGCTCTCGGGGTGATCACGCGGGATGCCGACATACTCGTCCTGATTGGGTCAGCATCACTCTATATCACGCTGCTGTGAGACATTGGACGCAAGGGTGCGGCGCCATATGCAGGGCGGTAGTTCGTACCATATTAAACGTGACCACATTGCGGAAGGAGACTTGGCCCGCTTTGTGGCGCTGTACAAGATGCTCGTAGATCAGGACAGGGCTGCTCCCAGTAGGCAGACCTAAGACAAAAGGTCTTTCTGGTGTTGGGGCAAAGGTGTTGATGCGCTCTATGCTGCGGCGTTAGTCGATATTAACACACAACAAAGGAGCGGAGAATGCACCAATGACATAGTCGGCGATGTATTGGGACGCAGCCCTCGGATCGTCTCGAATGATTAGCCGCCTAGAAGCGGTAAGCCGGGTGTCAGAAAACAAAGGTGTGCATGCTCATACATGATGTATGTATTGTTTGTGTCACTTGCAAGGAGTGTGTGCGGAGTGAGGGGTCCAAGGTCATTCCTGCAGCGGGATGAGGGCGATTTCTATGAGGACTTCAACAGCTTCACGTCATTCTGGGGCAAGGTAGGATCGTGAGCTCGATCACCATCCAACGTCTCTTCACCGAGATGACAACGGCCAAACTTTCCGCATCTGAACACGTTCTCTGCAGCGCTCTCTGTATCGGTCCGCATGGTCGCTGTGCGTCATGCAATGGACGGTTGAGGGTGAACGTAGTGGTACAACGCGCCTATCTGCACCACCTTGGGCCGTGGACCCCAGTTCACTGCCATGTGCAATGTTACAGGAGCATGGCGGGGCGTGGTCCTCACCGTCGCGTGTGATAGCAGTGGGAACTGAGCCGGGCGTGGGCCGCAAACTAGCCGTCACGGGCAGCCAGCAACGAACATCACGATAGCAGGCGTCACTGATAAGGCCTTGGTGCTGATGGAGTCGCAAAAGGACAATGTTACATTTCTGACTCGGGTGGTGGCGGGCGGAGAGCGTTGCACTTGTGGCTCTAGTGGGCGTCTTCTAGCTCGCGCAGCCCACTCAGCCCAGGACCGGGGGCTCAACCAACAATGTGGTCGCAGGCGCATGCAGATCCATGCATCGTCGATAAGCAGGCCTGCAACGCCCCGCTTTGACCTTCGATGGCTGTCCCGAGAACCACTGACGACGGCCGTCCGGGCACCTGTAGCCGGCGCTCAAGGCTGCTGACGGCGTTGTACATACGGCTGGCGCTGCGGAACACGGATGCTTGTTGCCCTTTGTGCAGTGTCAGCCTACGCCAGCGAATCCTTGACCGACGGCTGTCACCTTTGTGTGGGCTCGCAGTCGTTTATCTCTTTGTGGAGGCCAGGCTGTGTCGCGTGCTGTGTCCGCCTCGCTACCCCGATGCAGGTTGGCTGGGGAGATTTGGTCGTGAATGGACCGTGTGAGGACCCTAGCTGACGGTCTGCTTAAAACTGACTGCCCCTCGCCTTCACCTTCGTATCCAAACCCTCGTTTAATTATAGTCTGCTGCTACCGTCGTGTGGTCTGAGCGCGAGCATCTAGTATCTTTATTGTAGCCTGTCTGCTCTCACCTTCTGCATCAACGACGACGTGCACATCTCCGTCTGTCGCAAGGACCAACTCCGAATCGCGCGCTAATCGCCGGCACAACACCCACACTCACGGGCATCAACATGGCGACCACCGAGGAAAAACAGCCTCCGCACGCGGTCAACTCGCCAGAGCACTCATTGACTGACACCAACTCAAATGAGCTCCCTGCCTCGTGGAAATACAGACGCTTCACCGTTCTCGGTTTCAAGCTGCCATGGTTCGCGTCACCACCCGTCCAGCTCGTCATTGTCTCCTTCGTCTGCTTCATGTGCCCAGGCATGTTCAATGCTCTGAACGGCATGGGTGGTGGCGGCCAACTTGACCCGACTGCCAACAACCGGGCCAACACGGCTTTGTACTCGACCTTTGCTGTTGTCGGCTTCTTTGCCGGCACCTTTACCAACAAGCTTGGCATTCGCACTGCTCTGTCTTTTGGAGGCGTCGGATACTCCATCTACGTTGCCTCGTACCTGTGTTATAACCACACGCAGAATCTGGGCTTCACTACCTTTGCCGGTGCACTTCTCGGTGTATGCGCTGGTCTGCTATGGTGTGCACAAGGAGCCATCATGGTAAGTTCTGACTGTACGAAGTGGATGTGTGACATATACTGACTTCGTACCTCTACCTCTGCAGATGTCGTACCCGCCAGAGGATTCCAAGGGTCGCTACATTTCGTGGTTCTGGATGATCTTCAACCTTGGCGCTGTTATCGGCAGTTTGGTATGTTTACTTTACTTTGAGACCCTGAGAAGTCTAGTCGTGAACTTGACGCTAACTCTACCAGATTCCGTTGGGTCAGAACATCAACACCAAGACTGCGGGCACAGTTAACGACGGCACCTACGTCGGCTTCCTTGTCCTCACGATCCTCGGTGCTGCTCTCTCATGGACCCTCGTCGACGCAAAGGACGTCATCCGCGATGATGGATCCAAGGTCATTGTCATGAAGCACCCGTCGTGGAAGTCGGAAATCGTTGGTCTCTACCAAACCTTCTTCACCGACCCGTACATCATCCTTCTTTTCCCCATGTTCCTGGCATCCAACTGGTTCTACACCTACCACTTCACCGAGATCAACGCTGCATACTTCAACGTCCGCACCCGAGCGCTCAACGGCGTCGTCTACTACATCATGCAGATCGTTGGTGCCTACGTCTTTGGTTACGCGCTCGACATTAAGGGTGTCCGCCGAACCACTCGCGCTAAGGCTGCGTGGGGTGTGCTTTTCGCCACTATCATGATTATCTGGGGCTTTGGATACATGTTTCAGAAGACCTACGACCGCGCCTGGGCAGAGGACGAGACAAACGAGAAGAAGGACTGGTCTGACGCAGGTTACGCCGGCCCCTTTGTCCTCTACATGTTCTACGGATTTTCCGATGCCGCCTGGCAAACATCAGTCTACTGGTAAGTTCCAATCAAGCACCAACATTTCAAGATCGTCATGCTAACAAACGCCAGGTTCATGGGTGCTCTGACCAACAACAGCCGCAAGCTCGCCAACTTCGCTGGTTTCTACAAGGGTATCCAGTCCGCTGGAGGTGCCATCACATGGCGTTTGGACGACACCAAGATTCCCTTCATGACCATGTTTGCTAGCAACTGGGGACTTCTCGCGGGCAGTCTGGTTGTTGCTCTACCTGTCATTCTCTGGAAGGTTGAGGACACTGTTGCGATTGAGAAGGACATCGCTTTCACTGACGAGACAGTGGCGGAAGTCGCCCCCAAGGCGGTTGTTCACTCAACGCCTGGTGACGCCGAGAAGGTCTAGTCAGGTCTTTGCACGGTTTTCATGATTGGGACTTCATGGGTAATGACGGTGTTCTTCAGCGGTACTTGTTAGTTTATGATACCTGGGCTCGAGTTGCATAGCGGGAATAGGGTCGTTCCGTGACAGTGCTACGAACAGCAATTCCCGATGTTCCTAACGAATGAACATCTACTTTCATTATTCACATGCTCAAAGTTGATTGTTGGTGCAAGGGTATGCAGTGTGGATGTGGCACAGTCACGGCGTGGACGGCGTGGTACACAACAGCCGTTTCATCTCGCTGACATCCAACGAAAAACAACAAAGTACCGAGCGTCTGTTACCGAAGAATTTGGAGGACCAGTGGAATGCGCAGGACAAGGTCAGCGAACTACGCCCCAACACGACTTGACACGTACGCGCCGCAAAGAACCCAATCCTCCTCCGAGACAATCTTTTGCCCTACACATGCCCCATCGTATCAAAGCTATCACGGGACTAACTCTACCGACAGCTGATAGCCCCTTCCAGACTACCAAGCTTTACGATGCATCTGTCACCGAGCCGGACCGAGGTTGCCACTGCCCAGGACGCCTGATAATAGACCTGCTAGACCGCGACCCACGCCCTCTCCGGATACGATGTTTCAACGGGGCCTCACGAGTTCTCGAATCCACCTTCGCGGGATCGACATGCCGAGGAGAGCCACGAGGTAAGTGACGGTTACAACGGAGTCGTGCAGTAGGGCGCTAGGTATGTGGTGTCATCCATTCCCGTGATGCTCGAGCAGCTATCATGCAGGAAGCCTAAGTGCGCTGAGTAAGCGCTACATAGACTATCTTTAATGTTGAACTCTCCATTGGGGTCGAAAGTATTCAGAGACTCAACGGCCGCGAAGTTGCTAGTCAGATCTGATCGAGCCTTGGCACTAGACAGCGGGAGGCACGTGCTCTCCGCTCGTCATGCATCAAACGCCGTCTGGTCTTACTGGCTGCTCCGTTTGGAGCCCACGTGAAGCTCTGCGATGATCGCCACCGGCGCATAAAGCCTGCAATATGGTTGAATCATACCGCGGCTAAGTCGTCCACCGAAGTCCCATCGTAAACGCTTACGGCAGGATTCGCGTCCCAATGCGCTAGTGGACGTCGCCGCCCAGCAGATGTAACCGTACCGTAGCAATGGCCGCTCGTCAAACTTCTACGAGACCCCACCAACCCTCGACATGCCAGCAACGCCATGTTTCCGCATATCCATCCAGCGTGCCTGGCGCCAGCGACACGCTGTTGACTGCCGCCCACCGCCAATACATCAGGCCTTTGCGGCTTCCTTCCCTGTTTCCATTTCCCCTTTGGCCCCCGCGATCGCCCATACGTGCTTGCCTGCCGTGCCCCAGCAGCAGGCCTCGCATATTTGTCTCCGGAGCAATACCTAACTACGTTCGCTAGTGGATACAACCTCTTTGATGTTCTGACAAGCCATACAACTATGCTTAAGAGCCTTTTGCGACATCGGTTCACTAATGCTCCCGGCCCGCGTCTAGTCTCCGTTCACTACGACATTTTCAGACTTTGAACACTCTCGCTGGACATTTTGCGATTTAATAGAGCGTCTACAAACAACATTCGTTCGCAAGTCATACCAACGTCACCGTCTGCCGGATTTGCCTTGCCCCTCCATGCCACCTCTTCGACTCAAGCGCAAGAGCGGCCGCGTCACCCTTGTTCCAGAGTCAAACAACTCTCGTGACTTGCATCAAGCGTCAATCGAAAACAACAATCGTTGCTGGTACAAACAATTCATGCTTGATTTCTGGGAAGGGCTTCTCGCAGCTCTCGATAGGATCACCATGCTACCATCGCTTCTGCACTCCGTGCTCCCGTCAACGACTTCACGAAGACGTGTACGGGATGGACTCAGGACTTACGACCGCACAATGGACGACCTACTTCGCGAAATTCAACGCCTGTTAGAGGCACCACTCGCAACTGCCAAGATGTTGGATATGTCTACGAGGCTGCAGGCGCAGTTCGCCCCCAAGTTGCAGTCGAGCGATATCTGTATGCTGCCCTCATACAACCACAAGCTTCCCTCAGGATACGAAAAGGGGACATATCTGGCTCTCGATGTCGGCGGATCAACGTTCCGTATCGCACTGGTGGAGCTGAATGGTAGGCAACCAGACGCCAAGAACATGCGCATCGTTGTCATGAAAAGCTACAAGATCGACGAGAAGGTCAGGCAAAGAAGAGGCAACGATTTCTTTGAGTGGATGGCCGAGAAGATTCAGGATGCGCTTGCAGATCCTCTTCTGCAGAATTCCACCGACAAGAAGAGCTTTCCTATGGGTCTGGCATGGTCATTTCCTGTTGAGTATGTTACTGCAACGTATGTGGTATTGCATTGACTGACTGTTGCCAGGCAAACATCTAGTCGAAGCGCAAATCTCCTAGCCATGGGGAAAGGGTTCCGTGCGACAGAGGGTGTTCTCGGTCAAGATTTGAGCGAGTTAATCATGGCACCATGCAGAAAGAGGGTAAGACTTCGTCATCAACCCAGTATTTGCAATCACTAACGCCTTCAAGGGTCTGCCCGTACACATGGACTCCATCATCAACGACTCATCAGCAACCCTACTATCACGTGCCTACGAAGACCCTTCGACGCGTTTTGCCGTAATCCTAGGGACTGGGTTTAACATATCTGTACACCTGCCCGTCTCATCACTTGCGACTACCAAGTACAAGGGTTACCCACAGCAATGGCTGAATGAAGCTACGCACGTACTCGTCAACACCGAGTGTAGCATGTTCGGCAAAGGTGTCTTCCCCACAACAAGATGGGACGACCAGCTAAACGACGCGCACATGCGACCCGACTTCCAACCTTTCGAGCATATGATCAGTGGTCGATATATCGGAGAGATCGTTCGATTGATCCTAGTAGAGGCCGTTCAAAAAGCCGGACTGTTCAGCGGAGAAATCCCCGATCAACTGGCTGAGACCTACACCCTCGACACTGGCACCATTGCCGCCATGGAGATGGACGACTCCAAGAACCTGACCAGCGCCACGGCTCTCTTCCAATCCAGACACCCCCTCAGCAAGCCACCCACCTACAACGACATCCAATTCGTCCGTCAAGTCTCGCAACTCGTTTCGCATCGCGCAGCCGCTTTCCTCGCCACCGGTATCCACGCATTATGGGCGCTTAGAACGGAGTCTGAGGGCTTGACACCTGCATCTGCTGGTCGGATGAGCATCGGTTGCAACGGCTCTGTCATCGAGAAGTATCCCTGTTTCAAAGAGCTGTGCCAGTCGCACCTTCACGAGCTGACTGCTGCATCTGGAGCGGAACCAAACTCCGTTTCTTTGGAGATTGCGGTTGAGTCGGCTATCTACGGTGCAGCTGTTTCTGTCTGCTGTCTCGAAGGACAGTGAACATAACGCGAAAGCATTTTGACTTCATACCCTTCTAGCAACATCATTGTACATAGATTCTCAAGATCTTCTTTCCTTCTCTTCTTCCAATTTAGAAACACTTTACAGCCTAGCATGGAGAGCTTTACGAAGAGCATACGGGGAGCTTCATTACACGGTTCCCTTTTGGCGTTTGTGGGGATACATGGCATCGCATGCTTTCGGGCATACGCACGACCTAATGAAATATGTTCTATTCCACATTCCCTCATTCTCCATGCTAGACACGTGATGCAAAATCCTTCCAAAAACAGACGGAAGAGTACACCAGCAACAACGGATCCAACCACCAGATCCAGACGAACACAACAATCCCATTCTTCTAGAACACCCAAATACGATAATCGTACGTAATCCACCTCCACCCCTATCTTTCCACCAAACGCAAGCCCACTCCCACCTTACCCACAACGCACCGCCGCCCCTCCTACCCACCTTCCAATACCGCGTCTCCAGCCCCCTGTCAAGCAAAACGGGGCCAGACCAAACCAGACCAAACCCAACCCGGTACCGAGTCTCCGCCAACCGAAGAAACCCGAAAAAGGATTCTAGAGCGTATAACGTAGATAGGGAGGATGTGGATGTAGATGTACAGTACGGTAGTAGGGGTACTGTAGTAGGATGGCCAGGGTAATGAGATACGATAAGCCACGTGGTGGGTACACGTTACTGCGAAATCTGGCAAACTGTGAAATTGCGCAATAGTTTAGAAAGATGCTGGACCCACTTCCCGAGGTTGCTAGTTGTTACCCTTTTTGAGGGCAAGGGAGTTTGGTGGCATGCGCTATCAAACCAACTTTGTAGCTGTAAGCCGAATACTACATCGTGATAAACCCGTCTATCTATCACACAACATCCCGCCTCTCACGGAAGTCTCGGGATTGTATCTTGTTCGGCATTTCTCACGGTACATGTTCGGCCGGTCGGAAGAACGCATCTTATTTCATCCGCTGATAACGATGGTAGGATGGTAGTAAAGTTGGTAATGGGGATTGGCATATGCAATGTAATGCTACTGTTACACTCCTCCGCTCCTCCACACCTCCACCCCAATCCTACTCCAATCCTTACCCCAACATCAACATTGAGGTCAACGCCAACGTCAACGTCAACCCCGAACTCGGTCGAAAACCAAGCCCGGAGATATCACGGTGCGGCACGACGCAAGACGACGTCGGCGACGATGAAGTGTGGACGCGCGTAGAGTGGTATGTTGCAGTAGAGTTGGGCATGTGGTAACGGTAACGGTAACGGTAACGGTAACGGTGGCGTTGCAGTGCGCGGTGCTTATGCACATCTGTAACTACAACCACGTCGGCGAGGTCGGTGGATCTGGGGTTGTGGGTGCGATGCGATGTGACATATGCCATGTAGATGTCATGTTTCTTCGATAGGGAAGGTTGTAGTCTACTACCTCGCCGATCGCTGACGAGGTGCTGATGGGGGTTGCTATCGTTACATTTATGCGGTGTGGATGTTGTGTATCGTGTCTACTCATAGTGAGTAAGCGACAGGGACGGCGTGACAGGAAGACGGCGGCATGTA